ATCAAATATATTCTTTAGATGGTCTCTAAATTCAGGAGGAATATATTCAAGGTCATATTTTAGCTCTTATGGATTTGTTTTAATTGTCTTCAAGTTCAAGTTGAACTTGAATATTAGCAGTTGATGGTCTGTCCCACAATCATTTCCTGGCCTTGCTTTTGTTGAACATATTGAGCTTTTCCATCACTTCTTTCCACAGATGTAGCCAATCTGATTCCTGTGTATTCCATCTGGTGAAGTCCATGTGTGCAGCCATTGGTAATGTTGTTGAAAAATGTATTTGCAATGAATAAGTCATTTGTCTTGCAAAATTCTATCATGCAATCTCCAGCATTATTTCTGTCACCAAGGCCATATTTTCCAATACCAGTAACTTTTCTTTATTTCCAACTTTTGCATTCCAGTCACCAGTGATATCAACACATCTTGATTGCATGTTTGGTCAATTTCAGACTGCAGAAGTGCATAGAAATCTTCAATTTCCTCACCTTTGGCTTTGGTGGTTGGTGCATTGATTTGAATAATAGTAGTATTAACTGGTCTTCTTTGGAGGTGTATGGATATTGTCCTATCACTGACAGCATTGTACTTCAGGACAGATCTTGAAACAGTCTTTGTGATGATGAATGTCACACCATTCCTCTTCAATTTGTCATTCCCAGCATAGTAGATCATATGGTTGTCTGATTCAAAAGGGCCCAAAACAGTCCATTTCAGCTTACTAATGCCTAAGATATCAATATTTATGCATTCCATTTCATTTTTGACAATGGAAGTCCTGAAAGCTTTTCTCTATCCATATCATTAAGATTGTCTCTAGTCTGAGGAGTCAGCTCTTCCTCATTCAAATTGTGAATGCCTTCTGATCTGATGGGCTCACAATTTGACCTCCATCGGCTGATGTGTCATGATTCAAAATGAGTAGAAACAGATACAAACATCCATTAATAATTGGAACATGGAATGTACAAAGTGTGAATCTATGAATATTGGAAGTTGTCAAAAGCAGCCCTCATCCAAGCACCTGCCTACCTTGGGTCCTTAAAATAGTGCCCCCTTCCCCAAGAGAAAGTAGCCCATAGCCTCACACCCACCTTCCTTAGGCTCCGGCCTTACAATAAAGTTGCCCCCAAGTGAAAACAGCCCTGAGCCCCACCATTAGAGAGATGAAAATAAAAACAACAGTGAGATGCCATCTTGCCCCAGCACTAGTAGCAAAGTTCAACAAGACAGAAAATAACAATGCTGGCAAGGATGTGGAGAGATTAGGACTCTCATACACTGCTGGTGAGACTGTAAAATGATACAACCACTGTGGAAAGCAGTATGGAAATTCCTTAAAAAGTTAGAATTAGAAATACCGTTTGACCCAGCAATTCCATTACTAGGTGTAGATCCTAAAGAAGTGATAACCAGGACAAGAACAAATATATGCACATCCATGTTCATTGCAGCACTATTTATAATAGCAAAAAGATGGAAACAACCTAAGTGTCCATCAACAGAAGAATGGATAACCAAACACTGGTACATACACACAATGGAATAATATGCAACCTAAAGAATAATGTAGAATCTGCAAAACACCATAAGACTTTATGCTGAGTGAAAGAAGTCAATCGCAGAAGGACAAATTTTGTATTAGTCCATTTTTGTAAAAAGTCAAGGAAAGGTTTATATATGGAAGGAAATTTTCTTTGTTGGTTAGCAGGGGTGGGATTTGCAGGGAGAGAACACTGTTACATAGGTAGACACAAGTATTGGTTTGGGTGAAGAGAAGGGCCATGTACTAAATGTGAGTGATCAACACATTGGCATTGAGGAAGAAGAAGACTTAGAGAAGTGCATAGGAGGTACAGACAACAAAGATGAGCCCTTTTGCACACACACTACTGTGTTATCAGTGATGGCAAATATTGATATATGAGTGGACAC